ACCAATCATACACGGGCTTGGTACAAGCCACACATCTATCCTAAATAGGTTAAAGTACGCGGCGTTATATCCAACACGGACGACCGATGGTGCAGCCAAAGATGTTTGATGTGGAGAGGTCGCTGCGAAGAGGCATGCCTGAATAGAATTGCTCCACACGAAATAAAAAGACCCGAGCTCCTTCAAATGTGCCCACCGCATGATTCTTCTGAATACACGCGAAATACAGACCTGGCAGAGTTGTTTGCAGTTTGCCGCAACATGGAAAAAAACTGAAATGCGGAAGTTTTAGAGGCGAAGGGAGGCGGAAGATGGATTTCTGGAGTGGTAGTCAAGATAATCTCTTTAGCGAAGCATTTTCCCTGTAAATGGAACTGTCAAAAAGGCAACAGCATCATTTTCTTTTGATGGATTCCTCTATAATGACCGGTGGATACCGCACACGGTCGAGACCTCCGTTCCCGGCGCCTTTTCGCTCTATTCTTGTCACGTAATAGACACAATATGAATTACGGCGTGCTTTAAGCCGTTTACAACGTTAAGACCATCTCGAGTGTTTCCTTTCAAAAAGATTAGGTTCTTGCTGTATCTATGGGTACCGGTGTGTTGTCAGATATTTTAAGTGGTTTAGTCTGGAAACTTTCAACTGCGCTCGCTGTGGGGGCCCTTGGGTGGCACAGTTTCTGCTCGTTGGATGGGATACGACACCGCCTTCTCGGTGCCTTGGCCTGCCTCCTTGGAATCCGTCCATCATCACTCTCCCACCAGGACACGAGCTCGGGCTCTCCAAAAGCAAATTGGAATAAAAACCTCCTGCCTATTATCCACCCCCGCCCCCTATTACTGTATATCCCAACTGCAGTAAACTCCCCCCTCCCTTCTACTAGTATACTCCCAACAATAACAACAACGTAATGGCGGAACGTAGAAAGCTGGTCATTGTCGGGGACGGTGCCGGCGGGAAAACCTCTCTGCTGCTCATGTTCACAAAGAAGAAATTCGACCAGGTAAACCGACAAGGAAAACCCGCGCGCTTCTAAAGAGCGGTCCTCCGGAGGGTGAAACTGGCCAGTGCAGTTGCGGATTCCTCCGGTTGAGAACCAGATTTGCATTTTACATTGTTTGCCCACGCAACCCAACTCCGCCCTCACCCTTTTTGTACTTGTTCCCACGCAATCCCGCAGGAATACATTCCCACCGTCTTTGAAAACCACGTTGCGGACATCAATGTCGACGGGCGCCAGGTGGAACTGGCTTTGTGGGATACCGCTGGACAGGAAGACTATGACCGAATCAGACCATTATCCTACGGGGAAGCTCACGTCATCCTCATCTGCTTTGCTATCGACTCGCCAGACTCCCTCGACAACGTAGAAACAAAATGGATCTCTGAAGTTACCCACTTTTGTAGAGGACTACCCGTATTGTTGATTGCTTGCAAAAAGGATTTGAGAACTGATTCGAGGGTGGTTGAGACTTTGGCGAGAATGGGTCAGATGCCGGTGACTCCTGAGCAGGTGAGTCACGGGAGCCGAAGGCGAGCGTTCGCGCAAAATTGGGGTTAGACTCGAGGGCGAGCGAATGCGAGCCTCGAGTCTAACCCCAATTTTGCGCTCCTGCGCGAGCGAAGCGATGCGCCTGCCAACTTGGGGTTAGATTCGAGGGTGAGCGAAGGCGAACCTCGAGTCTAACCCCAAGTTGGCCCGGATTTGCGCAGCAAAGCCGAATGGTTGCGAAGCAACGCGTTTACGATTTGCGAAGCAAATCAGACCTTGTTTACGTTGCTTTCCCACACATACGAAGCATACCGCTTTTGCTTCAGCAAAAGTCTTGATTTGCGCAGCACATCGAACCCCGCTTCTCGACTTTCCCACACATACGAAGCACATTCCTAACTGATCTTTTGCATCTCTTTTGCATCTGCAGGGCTACGCAATGGCACAAAAGATTGGAGCGTACCGGTACCTAGAATGTTCGGCTAAAACCGGTGAAGGCGTCCATCCCGTTTTCGAGCACGCGACGCGCGCGGCGTTGCAGGTCGGGAAGCAAAAGAGGGCAAAGAAGGAAAAGTGCCGGTTATTGTAAGGACCGGGCGTGGCGTGGACTTGGCTGGTGGACGGGCGGAAGGAGGATTAAAGGGAGTGGGCGGAGGGTGGCGGCGGATGGCTCGTTATTGCATATTTTTCGCGGCGGTGGGGTAGGAGTGGACGGGCGGAGTGTGGAGTGGGGTGGGATCGTCTGCGGACAAAGGAGACGAACGGAAATCAGTCCATACGAGACGAAAAACGGTATAGCGCGGTCGACAAGTCGAACGGATAAGCCGGCGCGGAAACGACGAGGGGCGCGGGAAATTCGAACGACGCGGGCGGACGGGCAAAACCTTTCTCTTCTCTCCCGGCGATTTCCGTGGCGTGTCGGGAAGGGAGGGACGAGAGAAACACCAACACCTGAAACTATTTTATGGGGGCCGGTACGCGAAATGGAAAGAGAGAGTGGGAAAAGAGGAACCTCATTAGAGCTGTGTGTCCGTGATGCGTGTGTGCGTGATGTGTGTGGGGCAGTGATGGGGTTAGGGTGTGTGGAACGCTGTGTTCTTTGTTTTCTTTTTCTTTTTGATGTGTTTATCTTTTTCCAAACATGAAACTGGATATTTTTTCTCGAGCTAAAGCCTGTGGTTTTGAGTTGCTGTTGCGACGCTATCTCCTGTCTCGTGTCTTCCTCCAAACGGAGACTGGCTGCACTGCCACACTCGACCTCACGGCCGTTCCATTCATCAGAGTCAGACTCAAACAAAATGAGCACGTCCGCTCGTGTGGTGTAGTGGTTATCACGTCGCCTTTACATATTTCAAGCGATTGAAAGAAAATCGGCGAAGGCCCTGGGTTCGACCCCCAGCATGAGCATACAGAAAATCATCCCTCCGTGGACTTGTCTTCCATTTTGGTTTTTATTCGCTTTGGTTTTTTTTCGCTTTGCTGTTTCTACCGACTTTGACTTCCCGTCTCATTTTGGCCATGGGGGGATTTGTTTCAGATGGTCGGTGACGATGGGTGGTGGGGTGGGGGCATGGAGTGCATCCGAGACGCGGTCCTGATGGATGGAAATCCGATGGGGTGTCCAAATTTCAGCTCGTTGCGCAGCACCATCGCGTTCGTTCGTTATTCAACTCAATGCGAATCCTGCCGGGGGTCTTCAAAACTTTCATTAAACTAAGGAGGGTTTTATATCTCGTTTTGCGTGCAACACATCTACGACCGTCAGCCATCCGATGGAACACCGCGGTCAGAACAGAACATTCGAATGTACGGCACGACAAACGACCCATTTTTTGAACATTTATCTACACTATAACCCACATGCTTCATCGTGCAATACTACTCCTAATTGTTTCTAAAAAACGTCAACATTTTCCGGTTAGAAGACTGGTGGTAATGTCCCTCCGACCCTTGTTTTCCTGGTTTTGTTTGATTGCGGCGGCGCTGGTTTTGGGTGGAAGAGTGGGGGAGGTTAGTGCGGAAGGAAGGGAATGGGGGAAAGGGAGAGGGAGTACGTACAATGCTTTAACCATCCGATGAAACGAGTCCTGTAGTTTGTTCACCTACGCAAACGCCGACATTAACAATCCGCGTCCCTCAAAACACACCAAAGAAACCACCACGAGGGGTGAAGTCCGCTGCTCACCTCCCACACCCAACTCCTCCCCGCCGCCTCCCCCTCCAACGTATCAAAATCCAGTTTCGTCAGACTCTCCATATCCTGCGCTAGACGTTTCAGGGGGAGGACTATGATGTAGAATAGGAGGCCTATGAGGACCGCGGCGGCGAGGGAGATGCCGAGGGTGAGCGCGGTTGAGCGGGTTCGGGCTGCGTCGATGCGGTGGAAGACCTAAAGACGGGGTTAGAG